ATTAGTTTAGGAATATCCCCCCCGCTGGAGTCTAGACACTGGTGGTGGAAGTGAGGAGCTCTGGCTGAGAATGAGGATGACGGTATGTGGAGCAGGACTGGGCACTGGATGCTGGAAGTCTAGAGGTGAATTGGTTTGAAGGGTTGCATCTGTTCGTCCTGAAATGAAAACTGACAGCAGCAGAGAGGAGAACGGTTTTGGAATATAACAGGAATGATAAGATTGGTTTAGGGAGGTCGAGGCAGAATCTGGTTGAATTAATTTAGAGTGACGCCCATAGTCAGTTAATCAAGCACAGGCCGGAGAGTGAGGCAGAGAGATTTGTGAATGAAATGAGAGTGTAAAGACAGTCTTCCTGACTGAACTTTTGCTAAGCTTCATCTGGTTAGGTTCAGAAAAAATGTACAAACATATTTATAAGCAGCCATACAATATTTATCATCCACTGGTAACCTGTCTTTGTCATTATATATAGATTTTGCACCTGACTCTAAGCTAGTTTCTATATCCTCCTGAGACCTGAACTTTTGTTTGGTTTGCATTTTTAATCTCTCCTATCTATTTGGGATCAGTAGGACCCAGTAAGTATAAAAAAAACTAAACATAGTCAACGATGATGCCTAATGACCTCAAACAAACAATAAAGTCCCAATGGCTTCAAACAAGTACTTCCTAATTAACAGCATCTTAGCTTGTTTCTGTTGCTAAAATTGGTCAAATTTGTTGCCATATCAAACCACAAACTTTATTAATCAAAACTAAACAAGTTTCAACCATAAAATGAGATCAGGTTTTGTACCTTGTCCATTTTTGTGTCGGGGTCAGTTGCAGACTGACTTGGCAGAGATGGCTGCCATCTTGTTTTTACATTGATTAATGTAATGTGCTCTTACTACCACTAGATGGCACAAAAAAGTGTCCACGAACGAGGACAACAGGTCTAAGTTGAGCAGAATGAAGTATAAGGTCAAGTAAACCCAAAACGTGAGAGTCTCAGGAGGATATTTGCTATATGTTGCATTTTATATTTGCTACAGATTTCTTTTTTACACATTTCCTTTTTCCGCTGTTAATGTAGTTGTAGTTGCATTCTTTGTAAGCTGCACTTCTCTAAAATTGTATTGCAACTACTGCATAGTTGAATAAATAAAATTCTTAATTAAAAAAAAAGTTTGTCATGTAACAACATTGACTTTTGGTTTCAGTGAAAACAAACTGCAGTCTTGTGGATGAAAGTCCGGTTTTGTTTGACCGATCCACCTCCAGTCCCTCCCACCCCACACAGACTTTCTCTTTCTTTATACCAGTGGTTCCCAACTGGTCCAGCCACGAGGTCCAGATTTCTCCTTAGTCATTAGTTCAAGGTCCACACAGTTCAATATATTCAACGTCATACTTGCGTTTGGCCATGTCGTTGAGCAATTTTGCTGTCTCTGTCATGTAGCTGTCCATTAGTCACTCACTCTACAGCAGGAAACAGCACTTCAAAATAAAAGCTCTGCACTGGAAATTCACTGTAACTCAAAATAAAACGTGTTTCTTACAAACTCGACACATTTGCGAGTCACTTGCGGTCCATTCAAAATGGACCTGCAACCCACTTGTGGATCGTGACCCACCAGTTTGGAACCACTGCTTTATACTGTATCAGTTGCTCTCAGCGTCAAGTGTTGCCACAGATGGGTTCACAACTTGTGTCTCATAAAGTCGCCAAAGGGTGGCGTCAATATCACATGCCGAGGGGAGAGACAAAGTGGCAGTATTTGACGCCCTGGGAATGAGGACAGGCTGGTGTTAGTGAACACGTTAAGTGTGTGTATGAACATTTTTAGTGAAATGCAGTGGATGAAGAACTTTCCTTTTGCTTCTTTTCACATATTTATTCACCTTTAACTTTCTTTCTCTTCTCTCTTTCACCCCCAATTTCTCTATCTTACTGTGAGCAACTACAAATGTTGCACTCTTCTCGGCTGCTTACTGTAACTGGAAGAAGCACAGAAATAGAAACATACAGTGCTACCCCCACCCAACCCCCCTCCTGTCCTCCAACTCTGCTGTTCTCTGTGCTGCAGCCATCACGCAGGAGAGAAGACAAGCCACGTCCTGAAAGTCAGGGGAGCCTTCATCCTCCTCCTCCTCTTCCTCCTCCTCATTCTCCTTGCAGACGGCACAGAAGGTCTGTTTCCATGACAACGGGAGAATTAAGGGCGAAGGAGCGCCATCCCAAAATGACACATCGGATTTAGGGGCTAGTGAGAAGATAAATCACCCCCGGTGAATTGATAGAGGAAGCGGATTGGATTTTCTTGAATTTGAGACACATAAAATCCCCAAGTTGATGGATTTAGTTTGTCTGCTTATCCCGCCGCTTCCCTTGTTGTTACAAAGAGTGACATCAATAAAAGAAAAAAAAAAAAAAGATACACATAACAGCTGTCAGTCAGGATTAACAACACATTAAATCAATCACTGCATGTAGGTGAAAGTTTTTGATAACATAGTCTTTATTCTTAAACAATCACTAACTTCATTCTGATTTTTTTTTATATCAATGCATATTTTTTTATTTCATCTCACAATTCATAATGCATATATGAGCGTGTTCCAATGCAGTGAAATCATCTGCAAACATAAAAATAATAAATTATACTTAGTATCACATACAACCGAAGCCTTTACTCACCCTTTCATACATCAGTAAACCCCCCCGAAAAGTGCTCTCCTTTACCGCGTTCACATCAGCTATTTTTACCTCCTTGCTGTATTCATCCCTTCCTCAAATCCTCTCTTTCTGCTGTCAACAGTTGACATCGAGTACATCCAATTTCATGCATTGCTTTAAGTCCACATGTATCTCATTTGCACCAATATAAACCTCTATAAAAAGATACTTCTATATGCTGGTCTTGCCTGTTGACTTTCAGTGTCACGTCTAATATACTGTATGTATCAGTGTTATGCTGTAGGTGCTGTGGAAGTTGAACTAATCTACCGTTAGCTCTCGCAGGTAACTTGCACCAGCTGTGGACCCGGGCCCCAGGTAGAACGCCGGATCCACGATAATATATATCACTGCAGGTTTGCTCTGTGCAACTGAATGTGTGCTATTTACTGTACATACCACCAACGTAGCATATCAGATGTAGGAGATAAACTCTTGCTAAAATACTGATCAAAACGTTGCATAAAAAAGTTTTGGACCTATTCTCCCCAAAACAATCTTTTATTCGCTCTCGACTCAAAGTCGAACCAAGCTTACATCAACGTTTACAGTCATGCGATAGTCATGCTTTGTCCCGGCTCTTGTAATCCCTTGTTCTAACTTCCTAGGCTTAGCTGTACACCACCTTTTAATGAAAAAAATACCATCGACCCCGTCCCGACCTCCTTTAACACCACACCGGTGGCCAGGCTTTGTGCAACGGGTGCTGGGCAACAAGCGGCCAGCCTTTTTATGTCTGGCCCCATTCACGGAACAATTGTAGGACTTCCTGAGTTAGACAAACTAATTGGGGATTAGGAATGAGCTATGCAGCGCACACAGGGTACGCGGTGTACCAGTCAATTCACCTTGTTTATACAGCCCTGTCAGCATGTTGATTTATGAAAGAGAAGCTTTCCTCCACAATGCAGTAAATGGCTCATTTCATGGGTCACAAAACCAGGAGGGGTGGAGGCTGTATGGGTTACCATGAAAACACACCGGGAGATACTCTCACCAGGATGATGAGACATCCTCCCCCGAACCTGGCTATATCCAGACGAACTGGTTCCTCCATGAGACATTCTGCTTCCATTGTGACGGGGAAGTTTTAATGATTGTGACCTCATATTGAAAACACTAACAATACAGGTCAGTGGATTATTAAACAGTCAGGCACCCTGTCCACCAGTGTTGAGAAATCTCTAATGCTTTCACAATAAAAGTAACAGAAATAGTCTTGAAAACTCGTCAACACGTGTCCTCGCTGCCGGGCCTGTCAAAACAATTTTTATTATTCGTCTTGCTTAGAAAAAACAGCCTTTTGTCCGTATAGTTCAAAGGCATGAATACTGTTATATGGTTATATTTTTAGCCTAGTGAACAGCAGAGAGAGGGGTCTGTGTTTCTTGAGGTGCAAAATGTGAAGTGACCGTTTTTTGGCCATGGCTCATAGTGCTGATGCTGGTCGTTATCGTCCCCTTGGTTTTTGGAGTTTTATTCGTTGCCATTTTTGACAAGTTTGGACATCTCTTTACTTAAAACCCAATAATCCTCGCGAATGTTAAAGAGTATATTGAAGCGATATCAAAACAGTTTTCCTTTGACTCAGACTTTTCACATACTTGCGCAACTTTCTTTGTCAGTCTTCTCTACCGACAGACACACCAACCACAGGGATGTGCTGCCAGTTTGTTATTACTATTATTTAGAGACATACTAGACTGCTCTCTATTATATTGCTTGAATCAGTCTTGTCCCGTCATTGCAGTTAGTCACACTTACAGTACACACCTGAGTAAAATACATCCCACCCTAAGCACTCTGTTTCTATTGGAGTCCAACACAGAGAGCTATCAGATACATTCAGTCTTACCCTCACACCGGAGCAGGTAGTGTGACAGTGCATTCAAGATCAAACTATGAGAGAGAAAAAACAGAAGTAATTAAAAAAACCCAACTTCCTTTAGTCTCAAAAAACAAAAGCCAGAATAACTTCATGATAGTAACTGGGATGATAAGATACAACAGATTAGTAATGATGATGATGTTATAGTTATTACTGACAACAATAACACAACAAAGCATATGAGGATGCAGTAGCATTTAGAAAAGAAACCAACGTATGAAAATCGAACATGTATTAAAGCTTGTTTTTCACAGCATAAATTGGAAATGATAGATATTTGTATTTGTGTGAAGAGAGACCACCATTCCTTTGTTTGTTTATCACAGCTTTTTCTCTTTTTTTTTTGCATAAAATGTTGGTCAAGTCCTGATTGAAAATGATTTTTTTTTCTTCATATATATATATCCTCTGTTTTCATATTAATTCATCTAAAAGGTTTTCACAGGCAAGAGTTCAGTTTTGTTTTTGTTGTCTTGGGTGTACAGTAATAGCTCCTCGTCGTCGCAAGGCCCTCGTTTTTTTCAGAGGGGATGGTGGTGCGTATTTTGAGGGGTGGGGGAGAGGTGAGTTTTCCTATGGCCCCTCCCCCTGAGTCAGGTTGAGGCCACTCCCCCTTGCTGGAAACCCCTCCCCCGCTGCTATGTGGAGTCCTGATTAACAGCTTTCCCTCCGTTCATGGTGGGAGTCCCTGAGCTCTTCCTGGAGCGGTGCTTGTCCTCTATCTCATGCATTGACGGCTCCCTGTACATACAAACTGTGGCAGAGATGTAAAGAGAGGAAAGGAGGAAGGAGGGAGAGGAGAGGAGAGGAGAGGAGAGGAGAGGAGACAACAGGACAAAGAGAGGAGGAGCTCAGAAAGGGGACAATGGAGAGCAGATTGAAGAGATGGATGTGCAGACAGAGACAAGGTCAGGTGTGAGGCTGGAGGGACAATTATACCAGGCAGGGAATTAGGGCCAAGTAAGCACATTTGCTTTATCACATTGCTCGACAAGTTTACATGATATCTATCAAACGCTGCTCCGACTAAAAACATTGTTAGAGGTGATATTTTAAAAATAAACGTATACTAACCAAAGCTAAATACATGCAAAAATGAATTTTCATAAGTCTGACTGTCAAAACAACAGACTTTAAAGGATCTGTATACAACATTCAGTGCATAATATGATTCAGAGTCTGAGCTGGGATTGTCTGCACATGGCTCTCAACATGGCGGTGGCTGAACCAGCAGCTAGGCATTGTGCTAATAGCCTGAACAGTGCTAAAGATGGCAACAGTGCTGACAGAATTAACGTGGGAGAGAACCGCAGGGTGGGTGTTTCACTTTCATGACAAATTTTTTTTTTCTCTTTTTGCTTTGAGTTAGATGAGAAGATAGATACCACTCTCATATTTAAGCTAAATATGATTAAGGTTAGCAGCCAACTGGCATAACTCAACATAAACATCGGAAATGGGGAAGCTTGCCTGGCTCTTTGAAAAATTGAGTCCACCTACCAGCACCTGAATCTCACTCATAAACCCGTTATATTTCTATAATTTGATTAATTCAAAAATAGTTTTTTTTTCAAAGTTATTTTTTGACTTTGGTTTTGGCATGGACTGAACAAGCAAGATATAACCTCTTCGTGAGATTTAGAGGAGCTGGTACGCGTATTGTTCCCTACCTCTACATGTTTTCCATGGTTATGCCAATGCTAAGCTAACTAGCTGCTGTCTGTGGCTTTATATTTAGCAAACAGATATGACAGTGGTATCAACATTTATCTTACTGTGCTCAAGAAAATGAATAAGCAGAATTTCTTAACAATTCCTCTAATAAGTCATCAGATCCTATTATTCCCATTCATGTCATTCCAGTTTTGTTTCTGAAAATATTAAACATACAAATGTACAAAACTATATGAAAATGCAAAAGACTATACTAGAGGATTCTAAGCCTATTAACTGAGTACTTAAAATTAGTGCCAGCACTAAGATATAAATTGTTTATTCATTGAAATCGTCAGGGCAATCACTGTTCCACTAATTATAATAATGGGACTTTCAGATTTATTAAAACTTGCTGGGGATATGTAATCCATCACAGTAAATGCACAGCAGTGTCACTGTAAGATCATTTGTTTCCTTATTAAAGTTTAATAATATCTGAAACTAAAAGTCCTCGGCTTAATTGAGATGCTTTAAATGCAAGAGTTAAGCTTTTTTCCCCACGTTTCTTGATTGTTTTTCAGGTTTGGTTTGATGAGAACAAGATTTAAGAATCTAAAGCTTGACATTTGACAAATTTAAAATATTATGTGCCTTAGGATGCACTACAAAAAATTTAACAGTGCTTGATTAAAGGCCATAAGTAAATAATTAGTTTTCATACCACATTGTCATGTAAGTGGTAGGAAATCTGAACTTTTTTTTAGAATGCTTTCTAGAGTAATTACCAGCACAGTATAGCCAATTTATAATAATTAGGAAGTATATGCATCACCACACAAAAGAATCAATTAAAAGTTGTTCCATGAAACAAGCTTTCTCATACCTTCAATGGGCCTGGGCACAAAGTGCGACGAGGGCTTAGTCTTCTTGACCCGGTTGCCCTTCATGACTTGTCCCTCCTTGGTGAGTCCGAGGAACCAGGCCCGACCCGACTCCTGTTGCCGGTACACAGTGGACGAGTAGATCACATAGTAGTTCTCAAAAACAGACTCCTTGAACTTGCACTCTGGCGTGAACATCTCCTGAAAGCAAAAAAAAGACAGAGACTTGAGGACATAGATACACATGTGTGTTTTGAACTCCGCTGGTGCATTTAATTGAAATTCCACCCCCCATTTATTGTCCAGACAGCGTTAGGAATATGTGAGTGACAGCAGAACTCCTGGCCAATGAACAAGCTGAGAGGCGGCACTTCAAGTGAATGCACGAGCAGAGTTTAAATGCATATGCTTGCCCAGGTGTGTTACTCGTCTGTGTGTGAGACTGTTTATGCACAGGTGTTTCAAATACAAAGGTTTTTAAAATAATGTATGTCTAGGAATTACTGAGCATACGACAAGATAAGTAAAAAAACAGAGTTACAGGGGGTAGTGGTAATAATCTCACCCTATGAAATGAGACAACTTTTCAAAACCCTGATTTGTCATCAGCAGTCATTGATTGCATTTACATAAACAAACGCAACCATGGAAATAATGGTGTTATTATGATAACATTTATCATTAATATGATGGAGATAGAAAAGCATGGGCGCTCGTGATTTGTTCACAACTTCTGTTTCACGCTATCAGTAAACTAAAAAGTCATCAAATAAAAAAGAACTTGGAATGTGACATAGAGATAGATTAAAAGTGTAGGATATCTTGGCCATGATTTCTCATAACACTTGGTTCGGAGTCTTACAAACATCCATTTAGAGTGGCATGTAGCCTAGACACTTCCCCCTGCCCCTCTATCCCAAAAAGAAAAAGAGGATGCCCTACCCCTTGACGTGAACACACAAAATGGAGGGTCAGGGGCAAGGGATGTATTGGTACGGGGGTTTGGATTATACTGCACAAGCTGTGTAAGAATTTGTGAAAAGATTTGTTTTTAAAGATTATTTTTGGGGCGTTTTTGCCTTTAATGGATAGGACAACAAAGTGTGTGTAGGGGGAAAGAGGGGGGGAGTGACACGCAGCAAAGCACCCAGGCTGCAGCAGCAAGGACGAAGCCTCTGTACCTTGGGTGCCTGCTCTAACCACTAAGCCACTGATGCCCCAAAAAGGATGTTTTAATGTAGTTTTGCTGTTGTTAAATACAACCCCCTTTTACTTTAGTACATCAAGAATTTCCTCTGCTTTTGGAATTTTCCTTCGCTGTGGAGGCATGTGAGAAAAACAAAGTTTTCTTTCCCAATTCAAGGAAACACAGGGTGAGTAACTGATATACAAATAATCATTTTGGGGGTGAAGTATTCCTTTAAGGAACGCCTACAATACAAATGATTACATGCATGCACACAAAATCAATTTTGGTATCCACATAAAGTGAAGATCACATGCAGACACAGCCAGAAACGAAACAGATGGATGATTTTAATAAAGTCTAATATGAGGAGAAAAAAAAGAAAGCTGTGTCCGTCTCACTCTGCCAATATTGGCTCTCATCACAAGCATGTGTACAATGCCAAGGTCAGTAAACATACTGTATTCTCTCTGTCTCCCTCGCACACACACGCACCCTTGGAATCTAAGTAACGATAGTCTTATTAGAATAATGTTGAACAATGGAAGATTGCTATCTCTCAGCTTCATTATCAAAGCAGAGAGTCAAGGAGAAAGTCAAGGGGACACACAGGAGGTGGAGAGGACTGACAGGAAAAATGGAACGTGCCAGATATTGGATACACTGTCGGGACTGAGTGGGTGCCAGATTATTGCCGTGACAGTTTAGGACAGGAAACAATGCTCTTGAATTGACTGTCTAACCCCTAACAAATCTAAAATGAATTAGTGTGGCTAATTTAAATGAAGATAATGGTGACGCTGATGTTTTTAACTAGGCAGAAAAATGTGTCTATACTTCTCCCAAATGAAATCTATACTTAATAAAGCAGGTGAGCTGATAAACTTGCGCTGACAAGATGAATGCTAAACCTCACCCCCCCTTACCCCTCATCTCTCCTCTCCTCCTCGTCTGAACGCTTCCCGGCTGCGAGAGGCCAAATTAAAAAACTAGCACCAGTCAGTTTGAAGGGCGGGGAAGTCGTGTGTGTCAAAAATAGATGCTGCTGATGTGGAACAGCTGGCTCGCTGGATGTTGTTATGTCTTTGTACTGTGTGTATGTGTGTTTGGGTTTCGGTGCTGTATTTCATTCATTATATCTCCTGCAGGGTTCTGTGACCTTTTAAGGTTGTCCAGTTGACTGACAGCCCAATTCTGCTTCCTGCTGGAGGTCAGTGTTTACGTGTTTGTGTGTGTGTGTGCCAGTGAGAAGGGATGGAGTGGGAAAGCCTTTAAGAGAGTTGAAGATTGAAGGCAAGGCTGAGAAGTTTTGTGTTAAAGGGTTGGGTCACCCAGATTACAAAAAAACCCAAACGTATTTTCTCATTAACCTGTTAGTTTTGATTTTATTTACCCAGGTTTTGAAATATCCTCCGAGTTCTCTGCCTCCACAGTGGAGGTGAAAGGAGTTTTGCTTGTGATGTTTAAAGCAAAGAAAAATTTTCCACAGCAGTGTCTTTCCAGAAAAACACGCTCTTAAAGCTGTGGGTGATTTTCAGCGGCTACTTTCTTTTTCTTCTGTGGATTATCCAAAGTAAGAGTGACACTGCCTTTGAAAGGAATTGTTGCCGTTGAGTTTTTTCTTATGTCATTTTCAATACATTCCATTGTACTGGACTGGAGGCAGAAATCTCAAAGAGAGCTGTATCTCAAAACCTGGGTCAATTAAACGTATCTATCTGCATCACGGGTGTCAAACTCATTTTAGTTTATCAGTTTGATCTCAAGTGGGCTGGACCAGTAAAACAATTGCATAATCTTACTATATAATGATGAAAACTCTGTCTGTGTGTCTGTTCCACATTTTTCTCCTCACTGATTTGGTCAATCCATGTGAAATTTGGCACAGTGGTAGAGGGTCATGGGAGGATGCGAACGAAGCAATATTACATCAGTTGGCCAAAGGGGGGCGCTATAGCAACCGATTGAAATTGCAAACTTTGAATGGGCATATCTCATGCCCCGTATGTTGTAGAGACATGAAACTTTGCACAGAGATGCCTCTCCTCATGAGGAACAAGTTTGCATCAAGAACCCATAACTTCCAGTTATAAAGATTTTCCGCCATTTTGAATTTTTTTGAAAAACACTTCAAATCGATCTCTTCCTAGGAAGTTGGACCGATCTGCATGGAGCTCGGTGAACATAATCTAGGGACCAATATCTAAAGTTCCCTCTTGGCAAAAGTTGGAAAACTTACTAAAACTGAGCTTCTATAAGGCAATGAATATTGCGGAGGGCGTGGCTCATCACATAAAGGTGTATAACATTTCAAGGGTTTCACCCATCACCACGCAACTTTGTAGGCATATGACCACACATAATCTGAGGGGACCCCTCCATTATTGACCCCATCAAACAAAATGGGGGCGCTAGAGAGCTAATTTCTTATCTAGGCCTGACCGCCATATCGATTTTTACTAAACTTGGTAGATATGTAGAACAGGATGACTCAAGGTGACTGGAGAAATTTAACTCTAATTGGCAACTGGGTGGCGCTATAACAACAGAAAAATGCTTAAAAATGGCTAAAATGTGACCGATAGCTGTGGCTCCCCCTGTGGACCAATGTTTTGGGTTTTCTTTCTAATTTTTGGTATGACTAAGTCATGGTATGGTATGCTGTACATAATCACAGAAACTGTCAGTGTGTCATTCTGTCAGTCAGTCATTCTGTCTGTCCCACGTTTTTCTACTCACTGACATGGTCAATCTATGTGAAACTGCACATAGGCATTGAGAATTGGCATAGGTAGAAGGGGACAAAGCTACCAATGGGTATGGACTAGTAACCTATAACAATACCTCCAAATTTCTCTCTGTTATTTACATGTGCATGTTTCTATACATATGCACTCCTGTGTAGTAACGCTGGCATCACCACACCAAACTGAAGTGGAAGCTACTGAGGGAGCAGGTAAAATTATCCCCTGCCTCACAAAACAGTTATATATCAAACATTTTGGCAGTGCCTTGGCAATGGGGTTTCATCAATATTGTTTAAAGATAGAAGTCCGACTCAGATTCTTTTGCACTGAAGCTGCAGATTGACAGTATTTTTGCACAATGTCCAATATCTTTAAATCTGACCACAGTGAGTATTGATTGTTTTTTCAGAGAGCTGTATTCTGGTCTCCAAAGTAGCATTTTACCTGAAATAGGCTGCTCACTGTTTAACTTGCTTCTAAAACCTGCACCTCTTAGCCTTACAAGTGCTTCAGTGTGATGGGGCGGGTTGGACAGTTTTTGGCCAGCTGGGGGCAGACTGTAAACAAATCATTGAGATATTACTAGGGCTGCCCCTGACTAAGAATTTTCCTAGTCAACCAATAGTGGTCATTTAAGGCCATCAGTCGACCAGTCGCCCGCATGTTTATGATATTAATTTAATTATTAAATGATATATTTTGGGTGGGGCAACACAATGGTTTGAGTTGAAGGTGTGAGAAAGAATAGTATCAGTAACATTGTTAACACTGTGCTACATTACAGAGAAATACAAAACCGTACTAATGAACCTTCATTAATATAGGCCTATATTTTATCTACAAGTGCACGTCACACACTGAGCGAGCCGCTTGTTAATGACGTTGTGGGCTAATGGGCATGTAGCTACTTCCATGTTTCAGATGATACGTCATGTTTGTAGTCGATCAATGAAGATGAGTTTACATATCACCTTGGGTTCGTCCTTCACCTTCTCAAAATGATCCCACACTTTGGATTTCCTGCCCGACATGTTATTAACTAGCCTGTGGAATAACCGCAGGTACCAGCCCTGGAAGTAAACAGCTGAGCGTGGCCACTTCCTGTGTCTGTCCTTTCAAATTAAATTCCCACATGGTCTTAAAACTATGAAAAATTTCTTCTTCTTGTGCGAAAAAGCCTAATGATTTGAAAGATGCTTAAAAGCTCAGTACAGTTAAAGGAAACTGCAGAGTCAGGTGATAATTCTCGTTGCGTTCGTCACTAAAAG